CATTGCAGCATGCGTTCCAACAATGTCCCTTCATCAGCCAAATGAAGCCTGTATTGGCCTCCATTAAATCAACAGGCTTGGCCTCGCCTAAACAAATTTTAGCCTTATCACAAGCCTTAACTACATAAATAGGCTTATCCTTTTAGCAAGGCCCTCGTCTTAATAAAATTCAACCTTATTACAGGCTTCAACTACATCACTGACTTGCCCTCTTAGTAAGGACCTTGCCTTAATGAATTTCATCCTTATCATATAGGATTCAATTGCATCAAGTGGCTCTCCATCTTAGTAAGGTCCTTGCTTAAATGAATTTCTGATTTATCACGGGCTTCAATTACATCAACAGGCTCGCCCTCTTAACAAGGGTCTCGCCTTAACGAATTTCAGCCTTATCAAGGACTTCAACTACATCAATAGGCCCATCCTCTTAGCAAAGGACTCGACTAAACGAATTTTAGCCTTGTTACATGCTTCAATTACATCGACATGCTCGCCCTTTTAGCAAGGGTCTTGCCTTCCACCAGGTTTGCATAGTGTCATAACTTGCTCCTCACGTAGTGTGCTATAAGTCAACTTATTAGGATTCCAATTTAAAAGTCCACACATTAAATGAATATCGATAAATGGACTTTGGGGATAGTTGTGCAGCTATTTCTTTGCAAAACTTAACATGTCCCAAATAGAATAAATAACAACTCAACAGTAGCTAGATTTGAACTTGAAAGTCTGCGTATTATATAAATAAACCACACATAGATTTCGGAGACTATTGTTATGCCTCATCTGATGAGGCTCCAGATATTCTTACATGGTAGGTGAACTTGGAGCTTGCATTCCATGTCATTTAGCCTAAGTGGCAGTTTGACCGAACTCCATAAACAAGCCGAACCATTTGCTGGAGTCGACCTCATGTGAAGAACCAGACTTTTATATGCATGAGGCTGCAATGTTCTTAGTCGGAGATATTTTATGCAATACTTAGTAAGTGATTAATGTGATAATTAACTCCTATAACTATCCCTATTCAGCCAATTAGGCCGAATTTAAGTCTCGTGTCAGACTTTTGGGCAAAAAATGGTATTAGCATAAAATGCTTACGATTTGTTGATACCACTAACAAGAGGCCTCAATCGCATGGATGAATGTATTAGCATAAATTCCCTACGATTTATTGATACCTTTGACAAGAGGCCTCAGTCGCATGGATGAGACCACATATACTTTTATCCTACAGTCAGTGTCCATCAACCTCTAATATAAAAGCTCACACAATTTGCCATTTTGAAGATAATGTAAGTTTAGACTCTTAAACTGTAACTTAGCTATCCTTATTATCACATATTGTCCCCAAAAGTCTACCCCCTTTTTATATAGAAGGCTCACATGTAAATCATCTCTCACACTCAAATAATTATTGTTTCAACTGACTTGATCGTTGGAATGTGCGCAGTGAACTCCACAATCATCGAAGAAAGCCATGTATGGCTAACAATTTATCCTAGTGTACAGGAACCATTCTTACGTAAAAGTGAAATGTCTTTGAATCTGTTAACTACATTGAAAGTACAAAAATTGAAGTAAACAAGTGTCACGTAATTTTTGTTGTGTCAATAAATCATTACGTTGATTGACTCATGTAATCTTTTCCTACCACATATTTTCTCAACAAAAGAATCGTGAATATTAGTCAGTGACCTTGTAAATGGAATTTGGAGAGCAGGTTGGCTCTAGTACCAGTTTGATAAAGTCGGAAAATGAAATTCAAATCCAATATAGTTTATTCATGCAAAATGCTAAGATGGATTGATAAATTGGGAGAAACTGTACCAATTTTAGTAATTTATCAAAAAACAGTCAAGCATAAATCAAGGTAAAATTCTTTCTATTGAATGAGAAGTGTCTGATCTAGGAGAGTTCAATCTTGATATCGAAGTTCGTTTACTTTTAGGAAGACATCATATTGGAATTGGGAGTGTTATTCATAACCATCAAGGGTTAGTACAGTATGTACAATGATTATTGATGGAGGATTTTTGCCCAAGGAAAGCGGGAGGCTTCGGTACTCCGTAGGAGAATACTTCTAGCCGAATTCCATAGCCTATCATCTCCACGGCTAAATTTAATGCTCTCAAACTGGTACACAACATTAACTCAGAATTTAGCTTTGTTACCAATGTCCCATTTTCTCTTTGATATTGTAGCTTTGTTACGCATCGTAAAATGTAATTCTTTCCACCTTGTTTTCCAAGACATTGTTATAAAACCCAATCTAGCTCGGATGATTAGGTCGTGAAACCGGTGACCCGGCCCATAGACGGGGCCGAGTTGGGTTATATTATCCATATGCAATTGAACCGGTCAAAGCTCGGGTCAACCAACATTTTTTTATTAAAAACCAGACTGGTTTACCGGTTCTTTATTGGACTTCAAAATGTGGAATTAAATTTTGAGGTTGCAAAGAATTGAACTTTCAACCTTCAACTAGAAAGGGCAAGTGCCAAACCAATTAAACCACGAGCTGGTTGTTGTCACTTTGTGTAATTTATATGATTCATAAATACAGAATGTTTTCTAAAAACATTTTGATTTAAAAAGATTGAATAATATAATTTTTGTCAATATAATATACAACATTATAGTATCAAAATGTAATCATTATTACTAGCATGAGTTAAAAAAAAAATCAATAATTTAAAGATATGAATATAATTAATCACAAATTACTTTAAAATTTTAAATATATCCAAAAGAGAAAAATTTATATATAAAATTGTTTAAAATATTTTTAAGCAATGACCCACCGGTCCAATCACTAACCCACCGGCTTAACCAATAACCCGATGATCTAGTACCTCGATCGGGTTGATGCTCGGGTCAAGTCTAATAACTATGCTCCAAGGTTCAAATAGGTTGGCCCATACACTTGTGTCTTATGCTGAATTCTTTTCAGTAACTGTGGACTAGGTTTATCGTATTCTTCATTTTTTTCCCATGACGTACTCGGAGACATAATGAAACAAAAAATATTTGCTGGTGCTCAAAAAATAAAGAAATAAAAACCTTCATGATGCATTAAAATTCTGCAAGTGTATGGTATCATGATCAAATCATCCTACCCTAAGTATTTATTCCGGTTTTGAATTAAACATAACTTTAATGGAATAACAAGATTTTTAAGAGAGTTTTTTACAAAGAAATTAAATATAACTACTCTAACTTATCAGATTAATTAATGGAGAGCGTTATGAAAATCCATTTTAAAACCAGTTTCATTAATTCGCAACTCCTATTTATATATGAAGATCAATGTTCCTAATTCATTTAATAATCTCTCTTAAGTAGAATTAAACATATCCTTACATGTGATCCTTATATATCTCTATGGAAGATGCAAACATGAAATTATGCATTAAATTTGCAAGGATTGATATTACATGTCAAATTTCTATAATTTTTCTTGAAAAATAGAAATCACGAACAATTCATTTATTGAACAAGTGGTTGAAAATGCATCAAACTCGTAATAATTAGTTAAGGTTTAGCCAAGGCTTAGCTTAGGACCCCACTAATCATTGTATTTGGTTTGGTATTGCTACCGCACATGACGTGAACACATATTTAATATTAGGATCCAAATTTTATATAAAAATATAGAGATAAACATGAATCCTAACATCTACACAATTAGTCAACCATCATATTAATTAGAAAAATACATTTTAAATTGATGCTATTGGGTTGTGTGCCCATATAGTATATTTTGTTATGATAAAATAATCATTTATAATAATAAATTGTGATTTTATTTATTTATTGCATTATTTATTATTGAGCATACAAATTGATGTACCTATGATAACTCGAGATAATATAAATTAGGCACTTGCGTTGAGAAGTACAGTGTGGCACAACTTATATTTTGATTATAAATAATTTGCTCATAACTAATGTATAAGAGTCGGCACCTTATACTGGAAGGTTGTAGTATTGACCGAGTGACTATTTAGGTTTGTAATTTATCCTTATCACAGGAATACTTAAAAGTCACAATAGTACACTTGGAGTGTATTGAACAGATCGTGTGTTCAATTTAACTCTATAGCATGATCGTGCGGAGAATTAAATTTCACTTGACTGCTGTGTATTTCATCTAAATCTCTTGATAGGCTTTTCACAATTTTAATTGTCATTTGACTAATCAATGTGTGAGATCAATTTGATTGGTCAAATGTCACAATGAGTTGGGAACTTGAGAATGAGTGGAGTTGACAACATGAATTCGTGTCGGGAACCGTCACCCTGGAAAATGGGTAAAGTGGTTACTTAGGTATTTTTTGTTGAATGGTTAAAATCTGATCTTAGTGTTTAGCGATGACTAAACTTCAACATCTGTGATTGGTTCACAGGACCGTTGGAGAAAATGGTACTTAAATTGATCAGAATAATTAGAGGGGCAAAACGATCATTTACATTGGTACCTAATTATCGGATCTTGGATAGGGATAAAATATATATACGACAAGTTAGAGGAAAATATTATAGATTTACTAGTTTCTATGATCTTATATATTCAAAGAGTTCAGTCTTTTGCCTTTAATAGAGAAAGCAAAGACTAATAATTAGATTGTGTGGTCTAGAGTCGACTAAACAAAATCTGATTATTGGAGCTTGGATAATATATGTTCGATCAAGTCCCTATGGTAGCTCCATGAAGTATTGAAACTTAATTATGGTAATTATAATAGTTTAGGGCTTAAGTATAATTACAATAAAGTTTTGTACTTACTTGTAATTTCTACAAAAGTTGTAAACTTAATTATAATTGTAATTGATATTCTAGGACTACACATGCAATTAAATATAAACTAATTGGATTTGAACTTTATTTAGAACTCCTATTTGAATGTGGAATTATTATTATATAAGGATTGAAATTCTTCTATCTCTATAAATAGAGATTAGATGGATGCTAGAATTGTACAACATTCATAATATATAATTCCATGGTGTTCAAGTTTTGGGGAGAAAAAAAGAGAGAAAAATTATTTTTTTTAATTTTTCAATAGTCCAGTTCAAGAATTGATTTCTTGATTTAATTAAAAGAAGGTGCCCATTCATCGATTTAGTCTTGACTTTGGACAATACCATAGAAGACTTGGAGATTTGAACCACCAAGTTCTTGAAATTAGAAGGAAAAAGTTGGAAGTTCGTGATTTAGAATAGATTCAAGAACTTATCATCGAATTTAGGTAAAAATTCGAATTCTTTATTTTTTATATAACATATACATGAACATTTAGATGGTCTTGTTTATTGAATTAAAGAATTTTTTTAATAATTCCTCTTCCACATTCCAACAGATACAACATCAACTAGAATCAAAGTTTCAAAAGAAAAAACTCTTCAATCTCTTCGATGGCTTCATGATCAATCTCATTTGATTTTTCTTCTTCTTTCATTTAAAAAATAGATGTATGAAATTATATGGATGTTTTGTAAAGTTTCCTCAAAGCTGGAACGAATGTGGATTTAATGATCAAAAGATTCATATGTAGGCTTGTTCTTTGAAAGTTTATTTATTTTTTTATTTATTATTATTATTTTTTTATGTATTTTGTATTGGAAGAGCCTACTTTGCTGTCTTTTGAATCCTGAAAGGCCTAAATATTGAATTTAACTCTGGAAACTTACGAATTTTCCGTATGCTTTTTGAATTTTTTTAGTTGACCATGTGCAGTTCAATTAATATTCAATTTGCTTTTAATGAACCTCAATTCAGCTCCTAATTGTTTTCTCATGCCAGTTAAATACAATTTCGATTTTTACCTAAACCTAATCATATTTTATACTAAATTAAGCATATATCTACTTTATTTTGCAATAAATAAGCAAGTTTAAAAGCTCATGTAAGTGCGTAAATTTTACTTGCTCTCTACTCAAAGACAAACTTTAAGAAAATCAATAAAACAATTCTCTGTCCAATCCCAATATGGATATATATTAAAATGATAATAAATAAAATAAACGTTTGAAAATAGAAAAGTATTGATTTGACCCCCGAAATATTTTACATAGAGGTTATCATTCATCTAACTTCAACAAGATTGATTGGGTCAAGATATCCATCATGAAAATTGATTATTAAGTCAACGGATGCGAGCACATGATTCACGAAATTGCATTTGTTGATTAACATGAAACAATGGACAAACATGACTCCTATTTATTACAACCTTAAACATGTTTTATACAAGGGAATTTAAATGGATAATGTTTATCTATTAGGAAGTCTCTTTATTCGATTGCTTCAAGAATAAGTAATCTGGCTTTGGAGAATGGCAGCCAATATTGAAATTGATTTGTATTTTAAATGGATCACTTGACAATATTTTGCAGAAATATAGAAATGTTATTTGTTTCACTTATTGCACAGAGTATGCATGTCTGGGATTGATTGTAGAGCTTAAGATCTTATGAAATTGATCATTTTTCCTCAGTGGACTGGATAAAAACTTTTCACTGCTGATCTGACAAGATAACCTTAATTATGGTTGTCCGAGTTTGAGAGAGTTATAAGTAAGGTTCTCTTGCCACGTGCGAGAAGTTTTTATACCTATAACATCTTATTGAAAAATAATCAACTGTTGTTTAAGTTGTCTAGTAATTTAAAAAAAAAAAAACTGAATGAAAGAATGACAACAAATTTTGAAAAGTAGGAAGATAATAAATTTTCAAAATTTGCTTTTATCAAAATCTCAAGTTATTCACGTAAAAAAATATTCCTTTTTTCCTTGACCATTGACATACCAAATATATTATAAATATTGAAACCTAATAGATATATATAATAGTACATATTCTGGTCAAAGTATAATAATAATAATAATAATAATAATAATAATAATAATAAGTTCTAGATAATTAGCTTTCATTTTGATAAATGTATACAATTACAACAATAAAGCACATTTTTAACAAACGTTCTACTTTTGATTTTGAAACATACAACCTTGAAAGTAAAATATACCCTACACTTAACTAATTCTTTTGGTAACTTTCAGCATAGCTAAAGTTGATTCTCTTAAAATCTATAGCAATACCAACACAAATTATTGGGCAGCTTATTAATTGTTTAGCTAAGAATTGTAAATGTTTTTTGACTTTTTTTTCCACACGTGTGCGTGTTTTGGTTATCTTATGAAGTATTAAAAAATAAATTGATCTCAATCGCTAAACCACCTTATGTTGTTAGCAAAGTTCTTCTAAGACCATTAATAATTATTTTAACTATTCAATTAAAAATTATACTTCTATTAATTAACTATTTAACCTTTTAAAAATTAATAATAATAAAGGTGCACGCCCAAGCTTACCTATTGCTGTCTAAGCTCACATTGCCGAAATTTTATAACACTTTAAAACTAGAAACTTTAGAACTTGAAAATCTAAGCTTCTTTATTGCTAAAATCTTCCATGTCAAATCACCAAAAAAATTAATTAATGCGAAAAGTACCTTAATTCTTTGGGAATGATTTTTTATTACTAAACTTGATTCCGAATCGTGAATGTTGAAGCTGGAACTACAATTTTTTAATGTTTGGGTTCTTTTCTTCTAATCTTGAATTTTGCCTCATTTGATTCTTTAATTCTTGTTCTTGATTTTGCTTCTTGGTCCATAGATTTGATTCTTGAGCTCTTTCTTCTGAATTTTTAATTTTGAGTACAGTATCTTCCTCTTCAATATGTTTTTTTCTTGTATTTATAGGATGGCACAAAGAATAAGAATCACATATGATTTGGGAATCATAACCCTAAATATAGTTTCCATATATATTTTGCCCATCATAAACTACAATTCTAAAGGAATTTAGTCTCTACATATATAATTCAACCTCAACTTTATTTAGATGCCGTAAGCCTATAATTTAATTTTGGACTTAACTTTAAAATGACCTTATAGACAATTAATTATATATTTAGACCCACGTGAAACATTAATAAACCCAGCAATCTCTCACTTGGGCTACATATATTACCTTATAAATGTGTATAGCCTTATGACGTCAAAACTTTTGCGATCATAACTAAAAACATATGTGAACAATTTTGTCCATCAATTATAACAACATAGAATTAAAGCTATATTCATTACAAGTATCATAATTAAACATATCAATGGGTACGCATATCAACGTAATCAAATGATATAGATCAAGTGTGAATGTGTAGCATGAAAATTACACGTAATGTGATCCAAACATACCAAATATGATTAATAAAATCATGAGCAGTTTTAAATTTTTTCTTTGAAAATTAGGAACTTAACATATATACACTTTGACATCATCAAGGTCCTGTTGAAATACAAGACTGCTGCTATCATAGTATAACTTAAGTGGTCTTTCAGTTTCATCTAAAATACACAACCCCAGTAACAAAATTTTGCAGTCATAATCAATAATCAAATTAGAACATCCAATGATCTCCAATTGGTCTGATTTTCTTAAATGTGATCATGTAATCCTTATTTTCACTTAAATGTAATCATGTAATTCTTATTTTCATGTATATACCAAATAACGTAATTGGCTGCTTTCCAATTATCCATCCCAAATTTAATTTAATATTTGTCTAGCATTCCAACAATGAATGTTATATCTCAATATTTGCAAACCTTATAATATATTAAACTCCCAACTACTGAATTGTGAGAAATTTTTTGTATTCTCTTTTCTTTAAATTTATCCTTGAGACATTGATTAAGACTCAGCTTGTCTCCCTTAGCAATAGGGATATCACAAAGTTTACAATCCTATATTCCAAATCTCTTTAAAAAAAATTCCATATAGCTCTTTTGTAATAATCCAAAAATACTCCTAGAATGATCCCGATGTATCTGTATCCTTAATACAAAAGAGACGTCACCAAAATCCTTCAATTTAAAATTCTATGGCAGAAATCTTCTCATTTCGTGGAATAAGCCTATATCGTATTGTTGTAGGAAGTAGTATGTCACCTATATATATATATATATATATATTACTAAGAAAATATGCTTACTCCTTTATATTTAAGTAAAAACCAAACGAGATAATTATTTGATGAAATTTGTGGCACCATTGACAAGAAGCCTACTTAAGTTCATAGATGGATTTCTTTAGTTTTTAAACCATCTGATGTAGGTTAAGATCAAAATGTATCACAAGTGTTATAATAGTCCTAAAAGAGACTTTTGTAGAAATTGAAGGGGAATTCTCTTTAAAGTCATGCATTCTTTTTGAGTAAATCCATTTACAATAAGATGAGTCTTATATCTCTTTACATCACTCTTCGAATCCCTCTTGATTTTAAATACTTATTTACAATCAATGGGCTTCTAACCTTCGAACCTTCTGGCAATGAGATGAGTTTCCAAACGTCATTGTCACTTATGAGCTTTATCTATTTATTTATGGCACTAAACCATTCCTGAGAATTATTTCTTCACATTACTTGATGATTCATCAGATTTTCTTCTACCAATCCAATGACATCTTCATTTTTATTTATTTATTTATTTATTTTTTGGAGGAAGACTATATAGTCATCAAAATTGCATCTCTTCTCTTAGTGGATCTTCTTAATGGTGTTTGGTCTTGAGGTTGTTTAGCTTGTTCTTTTGAAACAATCTTTAGATTGTGTATAGGGTTTTTGTAATATTATCTTGATCCGAAATTGTTTCTTGAACAAGATTTGGAGCAAGAATTTGTACATAGTCCTTATCATTGTCAATTGCAACACAAGAAATATATACATATTCTTCCTCCAAGATAAAATTCTTAACTTTATAACCTTATCTCCTCCCACAAACTCTACATCCCCAAAGAATTGGACATTTTCTGTTACAAAAATCGACTTGATAGTGGGATCTTAAAATTTTGACTCTTGAACCTTCAAATTATCCAAAAAAATAGCAATTAACAATTCTAGAGCCAAGTTTATTTTTTCGATTGCCTGTAAGGCATTGTCTTAGCTAGACAACCACAAAAGTACAAGTACTTCAAATTAGGCTTCTTACCTTTCCAAAGCTCATAAGGGATTTTGATAGTTACATAGAACTTTATTGAAAATTTAAGCTATAGTCTTTAGTGCCTTTTCATATAGATAATTAGATGTACCATAGTATAATTCCATATTCCTCTAGGAATTTAGCAAAAGGTCTTGGACTTTGTTCTCCTGATCCATCATATCTACCATAGCATTCACCAATACGATCGAATTTGACATGTTTAATTATTTTGCTGAATAGATTTTCAACTTCATCCTTATAAGTCTTGAACATGTTTGGTGATTGTAATTTATGTTAATAAGATACAGGAAGCCATAGCAAGAATAATCATTTATGAACATAATATGTTATTGTTGACCAATCTAAGAGGCCAAAGGGAATGGTCCATATAATCTCCTTATGTTTGTCCGTTTTTACTTAATGTAATTAAAAAGACATTAATGTCTATAAAATCAGGGAAACAAGAATTCCTTCTAACGCAAGCCATTCCTTTCTCCTTTGA